AAAAAAAAAAAAAAAAAAAAAAAAGCAAATCACAGAATGGGAGACAATATTTGCAAATTATATCTTTGATAATGAATTATTCTCCACAATATATAAAGAACTCCTAAAACTCATCATTAAAAAAATAACCAATTTGAAAAATGGGCTAAGGATTTGAATGGACATTTCTCCAAAGAAGATATACAAACAGCCAATGAGCACATTAAAAGATAATCCCGCGCCTTTGGGAGGCTGAGGTGAGTGGATTGCCTGAGCCCACAGGTTCGCGACCCACCTGGGCAACTTGGCGAGACCTCATCTCTACAATAAAAAATCAAAAATTAACCGGGCGTGGTGGTGCACGCCTGTAGTTCCAGCTACTTGGAAGGCTGAGGCGGAAGGAGCCCCGGAACCCAACAGGTCAAGGCTGCGGTGGTTGGGAGCGGCCACTGCACTCCAGTCTGGGTGACAGAGTGAGACTCCAACTCAAAAAAAAAAAAAAAAAAGATAGTACCACTAAGCAGCAGGGAAATGCAAACCAAAACTGCAGCAAGACCCATTAGGATGGCAACTATCAAAAAACAAAATAGAAAACGTTGGCAAGGATATGGAGAAACTGGAACACTTTGCACTGCTTGTGGGAATGTAAAATGGTATAGCCACTATGGAAAACAGTGTGGTGGTGATGGTTGCACAACATTATAAATGTACCAATACCACTGAACTGTGCACGTACAAATGGTTAAGATGGTAAATTTTATGATACATGTTTCTTACCACAATTTTTTAAAATTGGCAAAAAAACCTAAAAATATATATAAGAACAAATATTTTTGCTTCAAGTCCCAAAATGTCTTGGCATGCCTCTGTTGGATTCTCTGCTAGATTTTGATATTTTGTTCTTTATGAATTTTTTGGCATTAATTTTGCTTCTTAAAAATGTTGTAGCCGGGCTCAGTGGCTCAGCCTGTAATCCCGCGCCTTTGGGAGGCTGAGGTGAGTGGATTGCCTGAGCCCGCGGGTTCGAGACCCACCTGGGCAGCGAGACCTCATCTCTACAATAAATCAAAAAATCAGCCGGGCGTGGTAGCGCATGCCTGTAGTTCCGGCTACTTGGAAGGCTGAAGCGGAAGGATCGCCGGAGCCCAGCAGGTCGAGGCTGCGGTGGCCGGGAGCGGCCACTGTACTCCAGTCTGGGCGACGGAGTGAGACTCCAACTCAAAAAAAAAAAAAAAAAAAATGTTGTATTGGCTGGGTGCAGTGGCTCACACCTGTAATCCCAACACTTTGGAAGGTGGAGGCAAAAGGATTGCCTGAGCTCACGGGTTCAAGACCAACCTGGACACCATGACAACACCTCATTTCTACAATAAATCAAAAAATTACCCATGGTGGTGCATGCCTGTAGTTCCAGTTACTTGGAAGGCCAAAGCAGAAGTATTGCCTGAGCCCAGCAGATTGAGGGTGTGGTAGCCATGAGCATGCCACTGTACTCCAGCCTGGGCAACAGTGAGACTCTGACTCAAAAAAAAAAAGTTAGCTGGGCTCGGTGGCTCAGCCTGTAATCCCGCGCCTTTGGGAGGCTGAGGTGAGTGGCTCGCCTGAGCCCATGGGTTCGAGACCTCCTGGGCAACTTGGTGAGACCTCATCTCTACAATAAATCAAAAATGAGCCGGGCGTGGTAGCGCGCGCCTGTAGTTCCAGCTACTTGGAAGGCTGAGGTGGAAGGATTGCCAGAGCCCAGCAGGTCGAGGCTGCGGTGGCCAGGAGCGGCCACTGCACTCCAGTCTGGGTGACAGAGTGAGAAAAAAAAAAAAAAGTTGTATTACTATATTTTTTATCTTGTTTATTGAGGTGTTTTTGGTCACTGCCTTAAATGTTGCACCTGAGATGAGTACCTCACTTGATTCACCCTTATCTCTGCCCTGCAATTACATCCTAGCTTCAAGGACTTCCATGACTCTCCACCATCTTCTGGAGAAAGCCCAGGTGCTCAACCTGGCATTCGGCACCTGTCCACTGTCGCCCCTTCCCTGCTCTTGCTCCACTGAACTCCTGGGGCCACAAGCCCAAGTTTCCAGGCCGTATACACAATATTGTCCCTGCCAGAATGTGCCTTCATCTCACAACTCCCTCATGATCCAAGACTGTCCCAGTGAACATTTCCCACAGCTCCTCTCCCCTTAGCTTCCCCCAAGAAGCACAAGTTGTTTCCACACCACCAAGAATGCCCCTACCTTGGCAGGCCAGGTGCTGCTCCCTAGAAGGCGCCATCTTCCCACCTCATGCCCAGCTCAGCTCTGGGCACTTAATACATGCCCATGACCTGTGATAATTAAGCAACCCCCCCCCAACCAAGACAAGACAGCTGGGGCCTGGTGCAAAGGTTTATTGCTGAGTCTGCACATCTAGCAGAGGGGAGTGTGAATCATGTCCTTGCCAGACGGAAGTTCCTTGTCCCCGACTACAGCACAGGCCCTGGCCCTTGGGCATAAGCAAAGATTTGGTGCTTGTTGAGAAAGGAGAGAACAAGGATGAGGGGGACATGAGCCTTTGTCCCTGATGATTCAGGCATGGTCCTCAGTTTCCCCTGCCAGGAAAAGGGCCTTGAATGGAGAAAGGGAGAGAAGCTGCTGGCAGGGACAAGAGGATCATCTGGGTTTGCTTGTAATCCCACCTAAGGTAGACCCCTGTGAGCACAGACTGGGCCTTTGTCCTGTTCTGAATCCTTTGCCTAGAACTGATCGATGGGAACTGGACTCTGTCCCCAGCCACCCCTCAGGACAGTTAGATTATTGGCCATAGCTGGTGTCAACAGACCATACCCTTGGCTGGCCAGCCCAGAGTACTGTGTGTGGGTGGGGGAGGTGGAGTGTGGATCTGATGTCCAAAGACAGAGGGGGCAGATCCTACTGGGGAAGGGGCCAGGGGGTTATTCTGAGCCTGGTATTTGGGGAAGGGTCCCACTTGTGTCTTACCCTGGCATCCAGGGACCCCCAGGTCTGCTCCCCATTACTAATTTATCGATGTGGGGGTTGTATAAGCCAGAGCTAACTTGGACTTTGGAGCCCTGAAGCTGCTGGGAGGGACAGATACTGGCCACTGGGTAGACAGGTGTCAGAGCTGTCACATGGAGGTGGCAAGGCTGGATGGGGTGAGCAGCAGGCCTGCATGTGGAGGGATAGCCACTGGCCTTCATGAACCTCTGGGAGGGAGGGCTGTTTGCTGAGCCCAGACCCCCCAGGTGAGTTGTGGGCCTCCGGGGGCAGGAGAGTTGCTGGAGATTGGTCAGCCGGGCACAGTGCTGAGTCACCGTGAGCTTCAGCTGCCCCAAGTCCTGCCCGTTCCTAGCTGGGGCTGGCTGCTGTGAGTCCTAGAGGCCAGTGCAGCCAGGCAGTAAAGGGCAGGGCTGGGTTTAGGGACATGGGGCTCTGGGAGGCTGTGGAGAGTATGGGGAAGGGTCTGCACCTCAAGATTAGCAGAGCTCAGGGATTTGGGTCTGGGGTTGGTGAGGCAGCAGGCTTGAGCCCAGGAGTCCTGGGGGGCTGATAGGATCCTGGGGGCTGGAGCTACAAGGCAGCTAGGGCTACAGGGTCTGAGGGCAATGGACACGCATGAATTGAGGCACCTGTGAAGAGAAAAAGAAACCGAGTCAGCATTTCTGAGACCCTAAGTAAATGAGTATAAGCATTGTGTGTAGGCTGGCCCTGGAAACTGACACGTGGGGGGTGCTGGGGACAGGCCAAAAGAAAGTAAATGGAGGGTACTTGTGAGCTAGGGGAGGGGCCTGTGACAGTGGGTGGAGTCCGAGGAGCTAGGGTGGAGCCTGGAAGCTGTGGGATCTGGGACCTGGGGATGGGGCGCCAGTTAGCGGAGTGGGGTCGGAGACGTGGAGTGGGGAGCTGGGGGCGGGGCTTGAGGGTAGTGAGACTAAGGGCGAGGAGGGGAGGGCCTGGCCCAGCAAGGACCCCCCACCTCAGAAGAGGCCGCAGTCTTTGAGGTTCTCTTTGATGATGATGTCGGTGACAGCGTCGAAGACAAATTTGACGTTCTGCGTGTCGGTGGCGCACGTCATGTGGGAATAGATCTCCTTCACGTCGCGTCGCATGTTGAGCTCCAGGAACTGCACCTTGATGTAGTTGCCGGCATCGTCGTACGTGTTGGGCCCTGCGGGGAGGAGAGCTCGCACTCTGCCCAGCCCTACCCGGCGCGAGATCGTGAGGCCGGGGCGCCGCCTGGCGGCCGTGCCGAGGCTTCTCACCGTCATAGTCCGGGAAGCAGATGCTGAGGTGTGCCTTTTTTATCTTCTCCGTGAAAACGTCCTTCTTGTTGAGAAAGAGCACGATGGACGTAGTGGCGAAGTAGCGGTGGTTGCAGATACTGTTGAACAGGTGCAGGCTCTCGTGCATGCGGTTCTGAGGAGGGCAGCGGCTGTCGGACGTCGGGGCACACGGGCGGCCGCCCCCACGCGGGCTGCGTCCGACCCGCCAGCCCGGCTCCCGGGGCTCTCGGGCGTGCAGGACCTCCCCGCTCTGCCGCCTCGCAGAGAGCCTCCCCCTCCAACACTCGGTCCCGCTTGTCACTCACCACCTCGTCGTCCTCTACCAGCACCATGTCGTAGGCGCTCAGCGCGGCGATGAAGATGATGCAGGTCACGCCCTCAAAGCAGTGGATCCACTTCTTGCGCTCGGAGCGCTGCCCGCCCACGTCGAACATCCTGCGGGGCCGTGGGGGCCTGAGCCCGCGCAGGGGTCCCCTGGGCCGCCCACAGGCCTCCCCTCTCCCCGTGCTGGCTGGGGAGCTCTCGGTTGGCGCCAGCGCCCTTTCCGCCGACTGAGCATCCGTCGGGCCGCAGGGATGGGGCCTCCGGGACGGGACGGGCTTGGGGCGGTGAACTCCCGGGCAGACCCCTGAGCGAGCGCGCGGGTCGTACCGGAAGTTGAGGTCCTTGAAGGAGAACTGTGTCTCGATGATGCCCGTGGTCTTGACACGAGAACGCAG